AGGGATATACACACTTTATGGTAACTACTAATGGTATGGTAAATAGGATGTTGTTCTTGTTGATTTTGTTTATAACCATGTTTATGTGTTATTGTTGGTAATGTGCGATGGTTTATTTTCTTAGATACTTAGGTTTTCAAAAATGTACTTTTACAAAAGGAATGTCACGCCGCTCTATCTTCTAGTTGTTTTTGTTGTTTAATTTTGTTTGTTTGAAATTGTGACATTCGTAAAGTTGTTGATTTGTTGTACTTTTAACATTATGCTGTTTTGTTTTCTTGAGCATTAGCAACACAAATTGTATACAAAAACAATGTGTAGCTGACATTAGTTGGAGAAATGAAACGGTTTGGAAGCTACAATGTGGACCCACTAGATAGGATTACTATTTAGTGTGTCTAACAAAGAAATACAATCAAGAAACATGAAAAACATTTAGAATATTTTTTTAGAAAAGACAATACCTCCTTTATGCAAGTTATAGAGCGATGTTTTTTCTCTTAAGAATAAATGAATGTTATATTAAAAAAAACAATGGAACATTTCTTTTACCCCGCCCCCTTCTCCCCTAGAAAGACTGTTAGGTATTTTTTTATTCAAGAGAATGTATAGCTCCTCCTTCGTGATCAAAGATGAGCACATTTCTCATTTCCTATGGACTCGAAGATGACTGTAAAGTCCACTCCTCGAGTCAAAAAGCCGGCCGCATACGTGACATGGGTGGGTTTGGTCATTTGCAGAAAGGTCTGCTTATTTTCTCAGCTTTTTGTTGGTTCGGCGCTTTTTTTACCCTGGCCACTTTTCTTGCTTCAAACCTTGAGACTCCGAGACTCAGCTACACGCCATGAGGAGCCATTCACAGCCATGAATGTCGATATCGCATTCCTTGAAGGAATTCCTGAGAGCGCTTCTTTAGCATTTGTCTGTATGATATGTATTATTGATTCAAGAGAAGAATAAATTCATGTCCAGGAACATTTTGAGTATCGTCTTCTAAGTCTAGATTTAAGTCTTTCATTGGAAGTATTCAATAAGTTAAGAATACATGACGTAGTCCGCTGTAGTATACCGAAGTTATGCGATAATTAAGCGATTAGTGAGTACATTTGAAGTTGCTTCAAGTTTATTGAAAGATTATCTAAGCTATATCTATATTTTTTACGTAAATCTCATATAGATTAGGCCTACATTTAGATTCCAGACCTAGAAATAGATCTAGATTTAGACTATATCAGAAGTCTAGGTCTAATGTTAGATTTAGATGTCCACATAGGCTAATGAACATTGGCGCCCGCAGGATTTTGTTGCAGGGGGTGCAAGCTGCCACCAATGGCTCAAAGTCGCAGCCTCAACTTTCTTGTTATAATATTAAAGAAGAGAACCTTTTCGGGCCCTCATACCTAATTGATATTAAGTGCACAGTAAATAGTTCTTTCTCATGAAATAAACAAATTAGAAACTAAACACGTGAGCAAAGTATTCATTGTACACATTGTTAACTTTATCCATGAGGACCGTGCTTCCCTACGTGAGATAAACAAAGACTGCAAACGTTGACTGTTGTTGCAGAAACTTTCAATAACTTAACTAATGTATTGCTTTTCGTCGCAGTGGACAAGCTGGCGATGAACGCATATCGTGCGTTGCAGCTTTTGCATCGTTTTAGGATGAAGACAAAAAAGAAGTTGAACTGACCATTATCATTGCTCGAAAAGCGAGAAATAATGAAGAAACTTAAGAATCAAGACATGTAATGTAAAGCCGTGTTATGTAATAACTCCCAAAATCCAAACATGTATTTTTTTTCTCAGTGTGTCTGTCGACTGCGAATTCTCGGCAGCAGCAACTCAATATCCGGTATCAGGTTTTTATGCCAGCAGTCTCTCCTTCCTTAGGATGGCATCTCTGACGTGTTCCTCGGGATGGTCAAGTTGGCTTTTAATTATGTCATTAATGTGACTGCAGATGTGCTGTTGAGCGGGCACTATGTTAAGTTGGAAAGACTGCAACACCGTGGAAACTGGTTCAAGAACAGTTGACTAATTAACGTCAATGAAAAGACAAATCAGAAACAAGAGGAGAGCACTCACTACACACGTCTGCAGTTTGTCTGGTTTCAGTTGCAGTCGTTATTTTAAGATCCGCCAAACAATCGTAGATCTCAAAGTTGAGACTTAAGTCTCGAATGGATTCGTATTTTTCAGTTCATTTTCTCACACAAAAAAGGTAAATTTAGCACCAACGCTATCGCTAGGGACAGTTACGAAGAAAGAATACTAGCCATCAGGGGGCAGCCTTGGCTGAGTATTTTGTCCATGTCTAGACTGTACAATGACGTTAGACACATGCAGCGGGTCTCACTGAACCACAGGAACTAAACCAATGAAGTCGAATATAATCGCAATCAAGAAAACGAACACCCAAAAACATCTGCTCAGTGCCTGAGATATCTTCAATTTCTTCACTAAAATACCCAGCAAATGCAATTAATTCATGATGTATTTTTTGGTTTCTTGCTGCTGCCAGTGCTCCGTTGATCCAAATCAACGTTTTGACTTGGACGTTGTCATGGGAAGAACTTTCTTGTATCTCTTCTATTGTAAACTGATGGATGTGTTTCACCTGATATTTTATCGAGCGCTGACACCGACCGCAAGACGTTAATACATTTACACTCTTGACTTTTGTTCAAAGAAACTAGAACATTTCTCACATCGAAAGATCATTGGCAAGGATTTCTACTCCTAGGCAAAAAAAAAAATTAAAAAAATCCAGACCTGAACTAAATATTATAAAAAGTAATTGTGGCATTTTACGTCTCGAGACAATTTTTTCTCTTTGAAACTTCTTGTGTGACTAAAGAGGCCAATCCTTTGTACTTTCACCCTTCTTTCTACAACCGTTGTGTAATCCAGGACCTTTCCTTTAATGCTCGCTCTTCATGTGGATCTTTCCAGTGCTACTTTTCCCCAGCTGTTAGTGTCGATTTTGAAGAGCTTTATGTCCCGTTTCCATACATATGTTTACCTTAGCAGTGGACGACCAGCGGATCTCCTGCCCTCTGTTAAATCACCATACAGAATGTTTTGTGAAAGTCGACCCTGTGGCATTCATAATAACTAAATCTATGTGCAAATGAAAATAAATCGTCACGACAAACCTGCTATAGAATATTTGACACCCTTTATAGTACTAAGAATGGCAAGTCTTTAATAAATCGTACATGGTTGGATATTATATAAGATAAGATAAGAAGAACTACAGATTTACCTATTCTAGTTACAATAATAGCATATCTTTACAACTGTACTTCAGTGGAAGCGTTACTTGTTAAGTTACTACACTTTATATTATTCCAATGATAGGCCTTTAGATCTAGACTTAGAAGACGATGCGCAAAATTTTCTTGAAACAATAATTTATGAAACTCTTGAATCAATAATGCATGCGGGCGCCCATGCTAATGATAATATTAATAAATAATCGCAAGAGTATGCATAACCGCTCACCGAATTCGTAACGACGCAGGTTCACGCAGCTTACGTTGTTAAAATCTCGGGTTCGATTGTTTACATTTGAGGATGGGATTAATGCCTAATTAAAATACAACGAGACAAAGATCTTCCTTGAAATTCAGTCAAAGTGAATGTTGAAGACTTTAAAGAAATCTTGTAATGTTCACATGCTTTACTTGGCTACGCAGCCCCAGCTCCGACCTACATACTTTGTCACCTCCAGCGCGCAGACATACCCATTTTCCGCCGGTGGTCGATTTAGATTTTCTTTTCGCCGTCTTCATTATATCTGAATCATATTTCACTAGTTTTTGTTGGCATATTATCTTGTTTTGTTTTTTTTTATTAGTTCAATATAAATATAACGCCACCTACCTATTTCACTTTGTTCACATAATCTAGTGTTTTTAAAATTCACCTTCACCTATCTCTTAGTCTGTTGGACCATTGGGCCACCACACAATATTTGTCGACGTCTTTCTCCATTCCTCTGTCTTTTGCCTTGGATAGAACCTCTTTCAATGGCAGTCCCGTCCATTCTTTTATGTTGTCTTCCCATCGTATTTTCCTTGCATCTTCTTCTTTTTCCTGGTACTGTTCCCTGGAGGAAGGTCCCTGAAGCCCCGGAGACCTTGTAATATGGCCATAGATTTTAGTTTGCGTTTTTTTTGTTTTTTTTACAAAAGTTAGCAGGTCATCGTGGGGTCTAATCGCTGTCTCTGATCTTTTCGTTTGTAATGCGGTCTTAAAATGTGATACCTAGGATCCTTCTGTAGCATCTCAATTCCATTGCAAGGATCCTCTTCTCTAGCTCTGAAGTCAGCGTCCAAGACTTGCAAGCATATAAGAATGTGGCCATGACCAGGGAGCGCATCAGTCTGATTTTGTAATTAATTCAACATAAAAGCACACGCCACCTTCCATCTCTTTCATTTCATGTTGATTTGGAGATTTTGTAAACAGCAGATATTTCTTTTACGTTGTCTTCATCAACAGACACAACACATACGTCAAACTTTCGAGGCAAATCACAACTTTGTTTTCATTAGAATTGGCAACAAACATTATGTGCTCCACAATCATCTGATGACTTTTGGTACATGTTCAGGCTTTGTCTTCAAACTCTATAAATTTTGTATTTCAGTGCAATTATAAATATTTAATCTATTTGAAAAACTGCTTGAAAAGAACCATAACCACCCATCATAACATCATCGTAACACTGTCACACAAACTTGACTGGACGACATTTTATGCCACTATTAAAAGACAAATCGCTGAGATTTAGGTCTGAGTGGCAACAGTGTGGCGAATTAGCGAGTCCCTATTAAACCTGCAGTTTGTTAGGGGACACTCTTGCTCATATTTTAGCATGCTCATAAAATTTACGTAAGAACTTAAATGTCAAAATTCACGAGACTGTAGAGGGAGAAGAAAAGAAACGCTTATCATGCCATAAGGTATCTAGCAGTCTAGTAGTCCAGCAGTGCATATCTTCAGCAAGCCAGGTATGAATGTTAATTGTCTTGCAGCTTGAAGGAACACCTGACTCGAGATTAAGATTAATTTGTTATTATATTTAGTGACCTGTAGAACTAACATGCGTAGCGAAACTTCATTTACTTTTTTTTTTCAAATCCGCTAGATTTACTTTTTTTTTTCTACGACCAGATTTAAAGCCGAGTTGCCAGATTAGTGAAGTGGCGGGAAGAACTTTGAGGAAAAGTCTGCAGACGTCAGGCAACACGTGATAAACGATCTCTGAGGAGAGCTCATAATATAAAGTCGTTCTACTCAAATATCTAATTACACTAACTCCAGTTGGACTTTATCAGAACTGTTGAAAGCCTGGAGTTCTCTTAAGTGTTCGGTAAGTTATAAACACAGTGGATGAAACATGATTACTATTGACTTTTTGTTTCTACTAACATTTGAAGTGATGATTTTTAACGGAATAATTTTGGAATAAAATGTTAGGAAAAATTTCAAGAAACAAACTATGAACGACTTATTCCTTTGTTTTTTAATTAATTTTAGAATGTAATATTTTTCGAATTAATTTTAGAATGTAATATTTTGTCCATTTTTTTAAAGTTGTAATAGGAATTCTACAGATCAGTCTATACATTATCAATAGTGTTAACTGAAAATGTTTCATTTAAATCATTTGTATAGATATTACATAACATGAAAAGCTACAGTAATTGAACTCAATTTTACAGTTGATTGTTGTATTCATACTAAACATTCTAAAGAAGACTCAAAAATTTCTCAAGTTGCATTTATTATTTTGGTAAATAATTACAATTAATATTGTTGATTGTACAATAGATGCAAATGACTGATTTGAAGAATGGTTTATTGAATGTTACGGAATATGAATTTCAAAAAGAATTATCTAAATTTAAGCATGACAAGAACAGTTAGTCATTGGCATGGAACTTAACTCATAACCAAGAGCGCTATAAAAAATCGTCTTTAAGCTTAAGTTGAACTTTATGTGTTTTCCCAACATGATTGCTTTTTATTACAATGCGATTCTAGACTACTTCCCGTGGTTTATATTCATGGTTAATTTATAAGGTTTTTAAGTACCAAGCGCAGACCATGTAACAAGTAAAGAGATCTGCTATAAATGGAAGATTAAATCTGCATTGCCAAAGCTTGACAAGATTCAGCTGCCTCTACATATGCATTAAAGAAATTTTGAACTGAATTCAAAAGATACATTTTTATGAAGAAAACGTGTATTTATAAATAACTCTGGAACTGAAAATTGTTTAAAAAGGCAAACAACTAACTTGCGCTTAACCAATAACATAGGTGGTCTGGCACGAACAAATGGAGAGCTAGCAGACGTGGTGATGCGCATAGACAAGACCTCCACAGCATATGGCATGCAGAACAAAAGGATCGTATGTATCACCAACAAAGACTGCATCTTAAATGAGGAAATTCAAAGCAGCACTGGTCATAAAGGTAAGACTACAGCAAGAATAGGCCCAGGGGAAAGAAGGAGAGGCAGACAAAAGAAGTGATATGAATGCAACAAAGAGTGGACAAGAAGTGGACAGGCCTGTCAATAAAAGACAACTAGAAACCAGACATAAGACAGAGGAATGTTGAGTGATAGTCAACAGATTATGTGTGGTTCCCCAACGGTCCAAAAGACTATGGAATAGGTGAAACTTGTGAGAGTGAAGGTAAACAAACAAAACAAGACAAAAAGGAGCTGATGAGTGCATAACAATAAATATTGCGACTACATCCATTATCTGGATCAAAATACCTGAAACCTAAATACCAAATGTAAAGTGAGCCAAGGTTATAAGGTGTGTCACGCAAAGAGCTTACTGCTTGTTTAACTCCCTTTGTACACTTTCCGCGACATTTAAGGCATTATTGTAGGTCATGAATGCTAAATGAATAGAAGACCGATGTGGTGATTAATCAAGAACACTGTAGTTATAGTTTTTAAGACCAAAGAAAAAAATGCTCATTTTGTTTCTCAAATCTATATCTGAGTTTGCCACAACGGAATGTGATAACAGAAAATATTCAAAGCTATACAAAATGTAATTCCCATTGCGTTTTTATTTAGTAAACAAAGACTCATTTCATTTCAATGTCTTTCAAAAGGAAATCTCTTGGCATGGGTACCAAAAACTAGATGACGAAATGTCCATTATTGTAGGCCTGCATGTGCTTAGTAAGACAAAGGGAATAAATGTGGAAGCAACTATGATTGAGTGTGTTTTCTTTATTTTGTTCATAATAGGTAGCAATGCAGTAAACGTGTGACAGTTGTCACAAAAATCTCGCCAGATGATTTGTGAGTTTAAAAAAAGCAAAGCCAAACTTAAACCCTATAATTAGTTATGTGAACAGACTTAAAGCTGGAGGAGTGTCACGCTCAGTTGGAGACTAAAGAAGAGGTTAAAATTAGAATCCTCGAGAAGTCTTCTCTCTAGTAAAAAGTAAACTAGCACAAGACTACCTGGTCGTGGGGTACATGCTCCAGACTGTCGTCCTGATGGTCCTGAGTTCGAACTCTTGCCCGCTGGCATTCCTTATCCCCATGCTGGAGCTAAGATGTAATCGTTGTCATTCATGAAGGTTCGTCCGAGGAAAACGTTGCTGTAGACTTGTTGGTAAAAAGTTGTTAATTGCAACCAAAACATTTGAAGAGCTCGTTCAATGTAGCAATGAATTTTTTTTCTTATCTATTCTCCAGATCAGCATCAAGATGTCTGTGTCCATCCAGATGGTTGTGTTGGTCTTGGCAATGCTGGCACTAGTGTGCCTAGGTAAGTCTCCATTATTCCGCACTAATAAGACTACTGCTATAGAATTTTTTTTATCTTTACATAAAATTACTTAAAAGACGAAGATAAAGATGATCATTGTTTGGACTACAAATTAGAATTCAAACTTATAGGCCTATTGACTTGCATCAAACTGGGACTACAGATGTCATTGGTTCTTAGCATTTTTGTTTTGTTCTTTCAAAAATTGTTACTTTCACGTGCAAAGTTGAAAAAAAGTTTTTCTTGCTAAAATTTTTTGGTTACGTCTTTATGTTGGCATCGAACATTCAAAAAAAAAAAGGCAACCTTTTTTTAATTTTGTATACTTTAAAATATTTTTGTTTCTATTTTGTGCGAATTTTCTTTTTTCCAATTTCTTTAAACTTCTCAGTGTGTCGACATTTTCATGTCTTTGATATTTGACACGAGCTCTTTTGTATTTTTTTTCTTTGAAGTTGTGTGATTTAGTCTATGGTTAAGGAGAGATGAAAAACAAACATTCAATAAAACTGTTTCACATTTTCTCAGCTATGTCTTTAGCGTTTTTTTGGAAATAGACATCTAGATACTAGAGGCTACAAGTCCGAAAAAGTGTGTTGAAAAAAAAAAAGAAAGGTCTTTGGCCTTCGTGTTGCAATAAGTGGCGTAGGTAGGGATTTGGGACCTCGGGGGGCTTGATCTTTATAGGGGCCCCTGTATTTTGACATTGGAAATCATGACATGAGATAATGTACTCTAAATTCCAATTGGTACAGTATATGGGTAAAACTAAAAAATCATTACAACTCTTTTAATGAATAATACCGTTGTTTATTGGCGAGAAAATGCACAAGTGACAATGCATATCGCCTCATGTCGTGTTTTTTCTGTGCAGCAAAGGCATCTATAACATCATCTAGATCAATGCTGGCTAGTATTTTTCACTCCACCTGAATAGTAAAATTACATTGCAGTGGCGTAATATTTAATGTAAAAAAATTATGACATTCATTTGGGGGACTCTCAAAGGTGAGGGTCGGGGGGGGGGGACTTTCGAATTCGGATACCTCCTCTCACCCACCTTAGCTACGCCACTGGTTGCAATGCGAGAGGTTAGAAACCAAAAATACTTTAGTATAGGGAGTTAAAATTAGTATTAATTTTTTTAATGTCTCAGAAGTGTTTTATGTAGCTTATGTTTTCTTAGCCTTTACAAGTACAAGATCTTCTGAACTTTAAAGGAATATCAGCTTTGTGACAGAAATGTAGTGAAGTGGAATCACAATGTTGTTTTATCAAGTAGATGTTAAAAATGGAAAGTAAATCTGTCTTGTTCATTTTATGGACATTTATAACACGTCTTTGCTATAGAAAGACTTTGCTTCAAGGCGTACAACGTTCTTCATTGTATTGAGCTACACGCTGACTTTTCAATACTAAAGATTTCTCCTTGCTGTAAACCATCCAAAAACTTACTTTTACTTGATTGTATTGTTTTTTTATTCTGTTCTAGGTCAGTTTCCACCATTCCCTTCCTCTGGAGCACCAGCAGCCCCAATGAACCCTTTGGCAGGTTTCATGAGCAACCCATTGATGGCCGGTTTGATGTTAGGCACTGATCCCAGCAAGATGTTGACCTATTCCTTACTAATGAACGGCATGGGCGGTATGGGGAGCATGGGCGGAGGCATGATGCCAGGAGGATTCGGCTTTCCCTTGACTCTAGGCCTGTACCACTATTTAAATTAAAAAACAAATACATATAGAAAAAAATGTCCTGCCCGGCATTTGACCAAAAATGCAGGTCTTGCTTTTTTTTTTTAATTTGTATATATACATAATTTGAATGCAATTGCTCATGTATAACTTATAACTTTTTACTGTTCGTTGTATAATGACATTTTAAAACATTAAAAGTGGTGGTTTTTTTTTTTTTACTATTGTGTGTTCAGAGGTGATCATTTGTCTTTGTTTTGTTTGTTTCTTGGAAATAGGATAATAGAACTCTAGTTTGAGGCTAAAATGGTTTAGCGTAATCATTACATTGTCTTGAATTGTCTAGAATTGAAGTGTAATGATTATGAACATTATTTTGATAGTTTTTTTGTTGTTGTTGTTTTAATGAAAGGGATAAAACTCTAGATATTTAAAGTTGTTAAAATTACAAGATTAACCCACATTATGGCTATTTAAAAAATTGTGTTTAAATGTTGTTTTTTTTTTTTTTTTTTTTTTTTTTTTTTGAAAACCTTTAAAAAAGCTTTTAATTTCACATGTGGTACATTTATTTACCTCATTATTTTTATCAATTACAAGAATCACAATTGGTAGCAGATTCTGCTAGAAAAAAATTACATCTGTAGAAATTGCATTATTCGAGTGTCTGAAAGCTGAACATCTTCAATTACAATTTTATTCTCTTAAATGTAACGTACAAAGACACAAGATATTCCATTCATCAGTAAAATGCTGATAGAATGAAGATCTAATAGAAACATCTCAGCAAATTTTGTTAATTTAAAAAAAAAACAAAAAAAAAACAACTAAATTTCAAACATTCTAAAAGATATTTCGGCCGCGTAAAGAAGTAATGGAAATAATACAATGGTATTTGGTTTTAATGTCAGAATCAGGAAAAAAAATATACGTCCTGTATGCTTCGTATCTACAGAGAAATACAACAAAGTAAACCACTAGAAAGACGACTTTATTATGAGCAAGAGTAGAAACTAAAGCTCTTTTTTGTTACGTCACATCCTGACAACCGGTTTTCATAAACAAGGGCGCCATTTTATCAAACTATATACTGAAGGCACCAGTTTCAGACCTCAAACATTCAAAGTCGCCCAGTATGAGCTTAACTTAAGCTGAACAATCACAATATGATCACAATACACTATTAAGTATATACACATAATACAATGTGCTTTTCATAGTATATTTTGACAAACAAAGTAAGAATTAAAAAAATCACGCCAGAGCTGTAATAATAATAAGGCTTGTCTTCGAGTTCGAAGATTAATTAGGGGTGCAGTAGTTCCCGTGGCTACGCAGCTCCAGCTATGACCTACATATTTTGCGACATATATAGATGTAAACAAGTAACATAACAGAGGTATTAAAAAAAAACAACTTCTGTTTTATGAAGCTAATAGTAATATTCAATTTCTCATTTTAGTAGTTCTTCTAATTCAATGAGTCTTTCTAATGAGTTTTGCACCATCAACTTCTTCTATGAACAGTCCAGCCAATGATGTCTACATAAGAGAGAGAACGCTAAATGTTTATGTGCGTCTAGTTATTCAACTCTTTTACTCAAGACAAAAAAAAAAAAACATTTGAGTTGAGTGTGGGAATTCCTGCTGAAGTCGTGCTCAAAATATAAAACCAAATTATTGTAAGATAATGATATTTGAAAAAAAAACTGAGTTAACACTGTGTAGAAAATAAGGTAGTTTTTTATTCAAATATAAACATAAAATGTCAAATCTCTAAGACAATCGTTAGTATCGTTTTCGAAATACCGTCCACCCAGTGTCCAGTCACCTTTTTTGTAATCTAATTGTAGAAGTTGTAAAATACATTAGAACGTTTACTCTATTTTAAGCATAGGCCTAATTGCACTGAATCAGCGGTCTCCAACCGTCCACGCTATTCATTACTTTAACCATTATCTTACCTTATAGAATCTATAGATTACAGACGTTACTACAAAAAATAGGATTAAATATTGTATCCCTACAATTCCACACTTCAATTATAAATACCTTTGCTAGAAATTCTATACAGATTTAAAGAACAGAAGTTTTTAATAAACATTTTTTTTATTTAAAAAAAACAACAAAAAAACTTTATGATGCTACAAACCGTATCAATCGATTTAAAAGTTCATTGATAAAAATGGAAGACCAACATCGGCAATGAATCCCACTCCTATTGCGTAGTACCGACCGCCCTTAACTACCTACCGCTTTAATAAAAGTTTAAAGGCCTACCACAGATTTTCTTTTAGAACTAGTATAAGTCTATATCTTTGAATAATTATTATAAATATTATTATAACCTGGCACGTATATCTTATATGTTATTACTTATTTATTATTTATATTATTTTCATTGTGTATTTATTTTAGCATTAAATTCGTTATTTTAATTTTAAATAATCATTCCCATGGTTTGTAACAATTTATACGACTGTGCGTGCATAGTATGTCTGTCAGGCTGAAATTAAAGGTTAAATGAATGGAAGCAGTACACATTAACATTGGTAATTTATAACTCGGCAGAAGCATATGCACATCATAATATATTTTAAGAAATTACCTATAATAACTGAACACATAAATATCAATATATTATCCAATTGTAATTTATTAATAATAATTCAAGAATATAAAACTCCAAGCCATGACAGATGCAGGCCCTCGGAAAGCAAGAGAGCCACGACACGGTAGCACGTAAAGCTTGCCTGAGCCAGCCAGGAAAACCAATAACTTGGCAGAATTTAAGTCATTGGTTAATATGCATGACTAGATGCATGACGCGTAGGACGTAATCATCTTCTTTTTTGAAGTAACGTCTGTATTTTGTAAGATAAGATAAGGCTACTGTTTTGGAATACCCATTTGTTTTACTTATTCCCCCCCCCAACTACTTATCTTATTGAAGAAGTTTGTTTTTTTAAGGAATAACACGTAAAAACACTTGGAACTGTTCCTCGTGATGTCGTGACCATAGTGTGTGTGTGTGTGTATCTGTGTAATTCTTTATCAATAGCAGAAGTAGGACGTAATTATCTTCTCTTTTGATGGAACGTCTGTAATTTATAAGTCTAAAACATTAAGTTACACATAAAAGCATTATATAGTTTGTGTTACGCACTATTTTCCCTTTTCCAAATAATGATGAAAAGACAGGATCTGAGTTAACAACCGACATAAACTATTGACATCAAAATAAAACAAAATTGAGTTTAGATAAGAGAATGAGACGTATCAAGTTATACCGAATACGTTTATTTTGTATTGTAGAGAAAAATGTAATACCGATATCTTCACTGAAACAATTGACACAGCTTGTAAGAAAATGTGTGTATCCTAATGGCTATTAGGATTACATAGAGCTGTAAAATTGGCAGTTAAATCCCCCTCTTCTATAAAACAAAACAAAAAAATGCAAACGACAATCCCCAAATTCCAAGAACACAGCTAAGGAAAACTTTTATTTTACGCATTCAAAATGCTATGAGCATAGCCAAATGGGTTTTTGAGTTTAAATCCCCTTTCAGCGTGGTTTGAAACTAAAAAATACCTCTTTAATATTAAAAAAAAGCAAATTATACACTCAAATTTCTATGAGTGTAGCCAAAGGGGTTTGAGTTTAAACCCCCCTCCAGTGGGGGTTTGAAGCTAAAAAGTACCTCTTCATTATAAAAGAGCAAATTACACACTCTAAAATCTATGAACGTAGCCAAAGGGGGTTTGAGTTTAAACCCCCCGTCAGAAGGGTTGGATGCTAAAAAATACATCTTCAATATAATAAAAAAGCAATTTACACACTCAAAATTCTAAGAGCGTAGCCAAGCCAATGGGGGGGGGTGAGTTTTAACCCCCCCCCCCTCCTCCAGAAGGCTTTTTTAAAAGTTTAAAACCCCTCCAGATGGTTTTGAGTTTAAGATCCCCCTACAGAGAGTTTTGAGGTTGAAAACCTCTCTCTTCAATATTATTCTAAAGCAAACTACAGTCACCAAATTCTATGACCTTAGCTAAATGGGGTTTTGAATTTTTAAAAAAAAATTTTTTAGTTTGAAACTCCCCAACAGATGATTTGGACGATAAAACTTCCCTCTTCGTTATAAAATCTAAAGCAAACAACAGTCACCTAATTCCAAGAGCGTAGTAAAGAGAGGTTACACATTTCTACAAGTGGCTGGGCTCCATTAATCAAGTGCCGTGAATAATCATCTGCCGAAATTGAAAAACACTAAACGTGGCTCTACAAAGATGGCTAAGACAGATTTTAGGAGTCAGTTATAAAGATCGAGGATATCCTATGCCGAACTGGGAGTCGACCCCTTATTAAGGTTGTGAAAGCGTCGCATGAAATTTGCGGGACATGTTCTCAGACAAAATGAATTACGCATAATAAAAGTTGCGATGTCATCCTAGTACAACTTGGCGCCACACTGTCATGGAGGTCCTTAGAGCTGGTGGGAAGAGGCTTCAGACATTGCCAGGGACAGATTTTTGTGGAAACAGCTTGCCGCCAAATGCGCCGAACGGTGCGGGAGGGTCAAAGTCAGAAAGAATAGCACATTCGGTTTTTGAAATTAAACTTTTTGATAGCAGAATAATGCACTGTAGATACCTCAGAATGTGCATTTTGTTGGCTTTCAATACCGGAAATAGTGCTTGGCTAAGCTCCCAGCGCTCCACCAGACTCCCTAGCTGGCAAGGATGGAGAGTCTACAATTTTTCCATATATAATTTTTTTTATTTATTTATTTTTTATTTTTTTTTGCGGTGGGGGGGGGGGGGGGAATAAAAAAAAATCCCCCCCCCCCCCGAAAAAAATCCTGGCTACGCCCATGGTTTAAACAATCATTTTTTTTAATTACTATTTTTCTTATTAATAATGAGTCATTGTAACGCTTAGACAAAAAATATATTTCCACAGGTTCAGGGAAGATAACATGATGAACAAAATATATTGTATAGATTATGTAGATACGAAGACTACTCGTGTCTTGGCACCTGCTTTGAAATGATCGTGGCGTAACTTAGGAGAGGGAAATTGAGTTCATTGCACGGATAGAGAGAACAAAGCATATCGAATATAAAGTGAAGAACTTCGTGACTACAGCCTGCGCCTTTTTCCCCCCACCTGAGAATACGTCGCAAGAAGAATGGGTTGTATTACCATGAGATCGTTCATCATTTCAACTGTTTACCCATATTTGTTGACGTCATTCTTTTGAGGTTTAAATTTAGTCAACTATATTATCAAAAGAAAAGAAAAAAAACAACTGGATAAACTTGTTTCCAAGAACCAGTTGGCTACTACATTTATTCTCTCTATCTGTTCTGTTCTCGCGGCCATCTTAGCCCTCTGTTTACCTCCAGACATGTGTGACGTGATACTCCGCTGTTTGTTTATGTTATTTTAGGTCTTCGAATTCATTAATTTTGTACACAACAACCAACAGACGTTTTTTTTTTGTTTTTTACTTTGTGTTGCTCTAATGGGCATACCTAATTAGGTTCATTCCCATTTTGTTCTAAATCATCAGTGCAGTGATTCTCAAACTCCTGCCCGCGGGACATTTTGGACCTTGACACAGTGCCATGGGAATTTTCTGTTTATAATGAAGCCGTAATTACATTGGACTCGACGGTTTTGTGGGGTGATAAGGGTTGATGTAGGGAGGATGAGGGTTAGCCCCTTAGCAGAAAAAGATGGAGCACTCCTGACTGAGTGCAATGATTTAATACATGAAGTATACCACCAATCCTTAAGTTAAATTATTTCTGTTACATCCTTGCTGTGAACTGTTGCATTTGTTCTCCTCAGCGGTTCTCGCAAGGCAAGTCAAAACTAAGAACAGGCGCAAGTTTCCAAGAAGAAAAAAAAGCAATGGGAACAATAGATGTTTTGTTTTTTTGTTGCCTTTGCGATTTGATGTTTTTTTATTTTTATTTGTGCTTTGTCGTTTGGCTTTTGTTTCACTTTTGTGTTTGTCTGTTTGTGTATTTGGCTGTTCTAAAAGATTGTGCTTGTTTGTGTGTGATTATGCCTGTTTTTGTGTTTGCTTTTTGTGGTTATTTGTGTTGTTGTTTGTTTGTTTTCCCTTTATTTACCTTTTTATCTTGCATTTCTTTTTGTTTTGTTTTCTGTTGATTTTGTTTGTTGTTTTGTGTGTGTGTATTTGTTTGTTTGTTTTTTTATACATTTGATGACATTTACTTTTTTTCTCACTTGTTACGAGCTTGGGAATAAATATTGAAAATAAACTTTGTTCTTTGACAAAAAAAAAAATTAATGTATAAGTGTAAGGACAAAAATTAAATTGTCGTTGCTTTGTTTCGAATTGAACATTTTAACTAACACACAATGTGACTTGGAATTTTTAGACGGTAAGATTGTGCGGGCAATCTGAAATAACGGCGTGAAAGGAACTAACAGAGCACTGTGTAGAACCTATCAGATTCAAATACAGTATTAAAACTATTCCAATTGGCCTGCAAGGAAGAGGTTCTATAACAGAGAATCTTTATTTATGACATGAACATAAAAATTTGGGAAACACTGAGTTGACATTTTAAAATCCAGACTAACTCGTAAAAATATTAGGTAACTACAAAAATGAAGGGAAAGTATTTTAAAATATTTAGGCTTTTTTTTTTTCTTCACTGACATCAGACATTTTTTTTTGTTACTGTTTTGTTTTAAAAGTGAACGTGCAGCAACACGTGACTTGGACGCCATGTTGTCTTCTGGCGGATACAAAAATATTACGCAACAGAGGTTTACATAACAGAAGAATGTAGCTCTAAACATCTTTTAACGGCTGATGTTTGAATAGAAAGAATGAAGGTTACTTGACATATAAGGATAAGATAAGTCAGATAAAGAATAACGCGAATAATTTTTATCTCAAGATTTTCTTTTTTAATTTAAAAGGGAAAATAAAAGAATGGTGAAACCAAAATTTTTTTTTCGACACAAACGAACCAATGAAACAAAGGAAATGAAGATAAGATTTAAAAAATGAAACAAAAAAATACAAGTTATTAAATTTTTTAAAATCTTGCACAAAAGTAGTAAGATACATAGGCTCTTCAACGTCATATGGACTCTATAGAAAGTGAAACATTATTTACCATAGAGATTATAAACGAAAAAAACTATAAAGAAAAAGGAATACAGACTAATCATGAAAGGAATTTTTAAAGAAATTGATGACCAGGAAATAAATTACAAAAAATTATTTTTAAAAAGAAAAAAAAAAACAGGATGATCGGGTCAAGGACGTTTGAAAAGACGAAACTAAAAAAAAAAAAGAGATAAACAAAAAATTACAGGCTGTGGTCCATGAAGGAGATTTAAAAATTTGCAAAATAAAAGACAAAGTTACCGAAGAAAATGACTGAGTAACGAGCATATTGTAA